AAAATAGCAACCCGGTCATTTCCTCACTTCACACTTTCCCCCCTTCTCCCAGCACCCGGTCCAAACATTTCACACACTTACCGGAAACCATCCCGAGCCGGGCATCTCGGTACTGGTAGTTCCCAGTGGAAGCTGGGGCCCCAAACACAGCCCGCTGTGCCTGGGGAAGACTCCAGTACCCACCAGGCACTGCACCGATCTGGGGAGGGAGGGGGGGAGGGGGGGTGGAGGAGCTGCATGCCGTTATATAGTCCAGAATCTTATTGGAGGGGGGAGGAATGAAACAATTTAAAGGAATTTTTCTGATGCAAACTGCGAACCCCCACGTCTCTTTATTGACCCTACAACATTTGTACTGCTTATTAAATTGTGACAATGTGACAAAGAATACAATGGATGTCAATCAGTCAACCACAAAATAGGAATTAGATGTTCTAATCAGTCCCAGTCCCAGTCCGACTTGTGTCGTGTCTTATTTCTAAAGGTTGATTGTGAGATATAATTTGCATCCTTCTTGTTGTCTTTCTCATGTCTGTTATAAAGCGGGGCATAACACAAGAGTTTTCTGAATATTTAGATGGTTTGAAGACTTGGATCTGCTTTGTTCTTCTCTGCAGATCTTTTTTAATCCAGAAGCTATCCACCAGCATTTGTTCTAGTCAAAGGCGGCTCATTTTACATATAATTGTCAATTATGAGTAAGATTAAACATACTTTGTTGCTAAAAGAAGATGTTTTGTCCAGATCTGGTCCCAGGTGGAGCATCCCTTTCCTGTGTCTGTGCAGCAGCACTGGCCGGCCGCTGGACCAGGGCACCCTCCTGTGGCTGCTTCTCCATACAGCAGGATGGAGGTTTCTGCATTGTTTATTTTCAACTTTTCCATTGGATTTCAAAATCTTATCTCTCTCTTATCTTCATTACTGCTCAGTGACGTCTGGAGATAAGTGAGGTTATGAAAACTATTGATGATCTTAACGCTTAGTTGAATCTCAATCCATCCATTAAGCCTGGAACTTTATCCAATAATTATTTTTCATGAAAAAATATTAGTGATCTTGTGCCCAAAAGACACTGAAACCATTAAACAGTATTTAATTGTAAGCAATATCTTATCAGCACTGGGTTAATAATATCATTTACATAAATTCCATCATATAAAAAGAGCTTCTCCTTTATTCCAGCGAAAACTGATTCACTTTCAAACCCATAAATCCATAAGTCATGTTTCCGCTTTAGAGCATTTTGTTGCTATGTATGTAGTTATAAACTTTGTTGTTTATATCAGGTACTCTGCAGTAATAGCATATAGAGACTGTGATCTCACTATAACTTCATATTACCAAGCCTTTGTGAACAAAAATACAATGAAGCATTTCTAAGGGGATCCAAGGGGGAAAATCCTGAACATTATAATTTTTTCCCAACTTTTCTTTCTTACTTTTTGAATATTTTGTGTTATGTATTAAAGAGCAGCCGTTCATGGTCCAATAATTGATCTAAATTTGAATCCTCACATGAAGATATAGTATCTTATAAAGTTTTCACATGCACGCCATTGTGCAGTCATTTTTGTTATGTCGTGGAAGCCATGGTGACCTTAAAAGCCGGTTTACAGAATGTGAGCCCTTTGAACTCAAAGGAAAGAAAAATGGAACCCTCACGTTCTGTGGGAATTCTGAAAGGACAGTAATTCAGATGAGTTTAGTTAGCATCTCATGCTCCTGTCTCCATTGTCATGCAGTCTGTTTTGCAAGAAAATACAAGTGATCTCCTCATCAAATTTGTTACCTAGGAAACTTATCACCACCATACCAGCACCACACCATGGTAGGACAATGTATAATGTCAGTGCTTAAAGGTAATTTATATTAGGGAACACTGCTCATCATTGAACTTCCTTAATAAAATAATGAATGAAAAGTGGGTGGATGCTAGAAAATCCCTCCAAGTCTATCGGCACACATACCGTTATCTTCGAATGAAATGTAATATTGCTGAAATAACTGACTGGAGATCAGGGATTGACCTCATTTTCAGGAGAGGCACAAGGAAGTGGATTTTCCAATCCATAGTATGTTATCTGGAAGATGGTTTTGGTGCTTCTTCCTCTTGTTGCTCAATTAATGTACTGTGTTAGAAAGTGTCTTTTGACCTTGTGCATTAAAACACAGTGAAAAAAAATCAGGGTTCAGTACAAATCTTTCATTGACTATGGCTATCAATTCTAAAACAATTTGTTGATTTGAAAGAAGTGGATAACATAATCATACAAAGCACAACGTAAAGCACACAACGCAAACATGAATCCCAAGAAAGACATAAAGCGAATGTTGGGTATATTTCTCCAAACAAAAGCAGGCAAATGCAGCATGGTGCATTTTCAAAGGACTGAAAGAAAGCACCAGCGAGACATAGTTATCTGGAGGCCATGACAGACTGTTACTGCTTAAGTCAGACTGGTATATCTCAATGAAAGAGACATATATGATAAGGTGTCCATAAATGATTAAAGGGAGCACCTTTCTCTGGAATTGACTTGTGGACAGGAAAGGAATTTTTATAACGCTTGCAACATCTCGCAAGAGCGCTACATAAAACAGGGATTCTCTTCTTTGGTCGTATCCTGTGTTCATTAAGTTTTGAGCAGAGGTGAACTAGCAGCAACAGGCCACACAGATTTGTGCTGTAAGCATGCTTGCTGCATGGGTTAAACAGGCCTCCTGTGGATGTGAACAGGACAGGCAGCTGCTCCGGCCCACACAGAGCAACATGATCTTGTGTCCTGGTGGTAAAGAATCATTGCAATGCACAGCAGAGGGTAAAACACACACACAGAGGTTGGTTTGTATTTTTTTACTCTAAGATCGGCTATGCAGCGGTAGAGTATTTCAGATGGGATGTTTTTAGAGCAGATCTCTTCTTTGACTTCTTCTTTGCCTCATCAGACTTGTCACAAATTAATGAAGAGTAATGGACTGTTAGCAGATTTTAAGGCATTTATAAAACAAACTGTTTCCTGAGAGGAACATGCTTTTATCTATTACGATCAATGCCTGTTAGCTGTCAGTGTTTCGTGCATGATCTGATCACAACTCACTGAAACCTTTAAAGAATGCTTACCCAACACTTTGAGTCACATATCCGCTGATGAGCTCATTTAAAACCAAGTATTTGGTGGTTCATTGCTCTTCAGCTATATCATGCAGGATGAAATGTAGGAGCATTCCCAGGCCACACTTGAATTCACTGGAATTTGAAAGAGCAGATGTCAATCAGACCTTGGTTTCCCCCAACCCCCCCGGTTATAAATATGCATGCAGGCATGCATGCATGCAGGTGGGATTCTGGGTTCACTGAGAAAAGATCTCATGAACCTAACCACAACATACACAAGTAACTGTTATACAACGGGTGTGAGCTGTAAACACTTTAAATATTTAAAGCCATGTAAGCAGCGAGAAGTCAACAGAGAGACCCAATGTAGTACTAGATCTGCCCTTCGTTCTAACAATGTTCATCCATCCATTTTCCTAACTGCCTATTCCCTAATGGGGTCGCGGGGGGACTGGAGCCTAACCCAGTAGTCAATGGGTGATAGATGGGGTACACCCTGGACATCATTAAATGAAAGAAATCAAAGGCAGCCAACAGGTATTGCAACAAAAGGGACTGTAGACCTAAACCAAGATTAAGAAGTCCCCATTTTCTATATGCATAATTGGAAGGATTAGTCATGCTTTGCATGCACTGCTCTCCGTCTCAGTTCTGGTTGATCTGGAGATGTCGAAACGTGTCCTTAAAGAAAAAGGAAAATCTTACTCTTACTGTTTTCTAACTAAAGCAATGAAGACTATTTATTTTCTTTATTGATTTGAAGGTACTTTATAAGTTGCCAAATAGTTGCTAAAAACATCCAACTCCATCCATCTCTGTTGGCAGTGAACAATGAACTGCTGTTCCAGCACCATGGACAGAGTTTTTTCATTGAAAGGATTGTGCTTATGTCTTCCGTGTAAGTTAAACATTGTCACATTTAGCTTTAAAAGAGTTATACGTTTTTATTGTCTTTTTTTAAATCTCCTTTTATGCTGTGTAATATAATCGTTGCTTTTGACGGCATATCGCTGTGAGTTCCTCTTGGAGGAAAAAAGGTGCGTAAAAATGAATCATGATAATGCATGGCGTCAACCCTGTAATGACTGTGTAAGTACTTCCTGTCATTTCTTGAATTAAAAAGAATGCTTCTGCGATGATTGTTGTCAAGGCTGTCTCAGGTATGGCGGCGCGGGCGTCGTGTGACGCGGCGAGACGGCGGCCTGTGGCTGTGCTCAGGCCTGGTTGAAAAGGACGCCTGCCGGGGGTTTGTCAGACAAGTGTGAAATGAAATGCAGTCAAGCAGGAAGACCGCCTCCTAAATTAGAGGCACATTAACACTGTTTTTGTTCATCGGCGCTACCTGACAGTAAAAGCAGCTTAGTTGGCTGTGGCTGTTTAAAGACAAATGAATCATCTCTCACAGCTGTTGTCTTTGGTCCCAGCCCTCATGGACCTTCTTGCATATTCAGGTGTGTCTGAACGGTATGTGCAATGCAAGCAGCGAGAGAGGAACAAGGGGTAATGGGGTATTTTGCGCCTCTCTTGCTCTCCCTGACTTACAAAACACAGCATTCTTTCCACAGATCCTTATGATAACAAGGGTTGAGCGGCCTTTGAATAGCAGGTAAACTTATTACTGATGTGAAGCCACGAAATTCCTCAACCATTCAACCATGGCCGGCCTCCTTTTGAACTCAGTTATGTGTTTGCTCGTCACACAATTGATTCACACATGTTGCCCGATATTATTTTTCATCCTTCGAAACCTCCTTTCTCATGCGGCTTATTCAGAGAAGCTACTTTTTCAAAGTCCTTAAGCAAGCAAAGAATTAGAAGGGACAAAAAAAGCCGATGAGGGTCAAAAGTTTTGCTTTCGGTTCGATCAAAACAGAAACTCTCACAGTTAATTCTTTATTTTAGCTGTCCGTATTTGATACAGGACTATAATGAAATATTACAGAGACAAAGCCAAACACCTTTAGTTATACAGAGAGTGAGGCTAGTTTGCAAATGTTAAATAAGGTGAGCGCTTATCCTTTGGATACAGGTAAATGATTAGATAAAAGCAAAGTGAGTATATGAGAAATTGCTGTACATGCATTTCTACTATCTGTTTCTCCTGGACCTGGTCTGTGCACAGCGACAGACAGAAGGTCATTTAAGCTCCTATAGACTTAACAGCCAGAGTCAAACATAATGCGATACCGTCTCTTATCCACTCTGACTCCCTTCCTCTATTTCCACCGTGTGCCTGCAGACTTTTGTTATGTTTTCCACAACCTAATCGAGGGCACAAACAGACATCTTTGTGGCTTTCTGGCCTTCCTATGTCTTTCATCCTTCAGCAACCCTTTGTTTTCCTGCTCTCTGTCAAAGGAGCATCATTTGTTCAGGTGCTCGCGGGCCACTCTCTTTCTCTTCACTGTTGCTGCTGTAGCAGCCTCGCTGTCCATCACACCTTCTTCCGCTCAGCCTCAGAGGTCTCTTCCCTGTTTGACAGGCGTGCATCTCGAGCTCCCTTTGACCTGTCAGCAGCAGCTCTGTGGGACAGAAAGCCAGTTAGTTATTCCAGGTATGACCCTTTCTTTTTCTTTTTTCCCTTGATTTTTGCCCGCTTTCCAGAACTCACCTCAGGATGCCGATAATGTCAAGTTGAGGTCTTTGCACAAGCTTGATTTCAGAGCTGCACACATGAAACACAACAGTACAAATTACTTTAAATGCTTTTTTTAAGGAATATGAAGAATCTTATGCTATTTGTCTTTGTAAAATAAAAATTATCATCTAATCAAGTTACTAACTTTTGCTTAGTCAGAACCAACATTTTTCTGTCCAGATTTCCTAATGTCACTGTTCAAACTTGTGTCTGGCCTGTTGTTCTTAGTTTACTCTTGTTTCTAGGTGTTGACTGTACATATTTGTCCACCACTTCCATGGAAGTGGAATTCTTGACTAAATGTTTCACTCCCTTCACAATTCGCCCACACACCTATATCCTCAGAGCAAATTAAAAAACCACCTGTGTGGACTTTGCGCACCTAAATGGCCCTATTCCCTCAGGCCTCAACTGGATTGTTTTGACGTTCACACCCATGGACGAGTAGGACCTGTGATGCACATTTAAGCTATGAATAGCACAAGCTATTCCCTCACGACGAACCACTCCTTGTCCTCCTCAAAAGGTAATAACACCTGGTTGTACAACAAATCCTCTCAGCTAACGAGAACTCTGAACCGATGCCAGCGGGGATGCTGGGGCCCGGACTCACCGGCGATGGCAGAAGCTGTTGCAGGGTTGATCACTGAGGTTGGCGCAGGAGCAGCGGTCTGTGGACCGTTTGCGTCGCAGCAAACCACCTCCCAGACCATAAACCGTCGTTTTACTGCAGATTGAAAGACAAAGTTAGTGCCGTACCCGCGACATAAACATTTAGCAGACTTTGCTCTTTGGTACATTGCAGCTGCCGCTTTAATGATCCAAAGCAGCGGCAGTAGCAGGGTCATCAGCTGGTCATCAGCTGTTTCTAGGCTCACAGTGTGTCAAGTCATTCTGACTGAGTAAAGTGGGTTGCATTTTTCATCACAACAAAGGAGATTCTGCGGTATGTGTTACAGCATGATTTTGCCTTTACATAATATTCCCCTATGCTTACCTGGGTGTGTTGACCCAAATGATATCCAGGTGGCAAAAGTAATGGCACTCAGAGTCCAGCAGGTTACTGCAGGCACAGCGTTTTGCCCTCATTGGGTGTGCTTTCATACCCTCATTGCCCTCCACCTCCAGTTGCTTCACAACTGGAAGACCCAAACCTACAATATTAAGATGGAAAGAGATGAATTAAATTAGAGAACAAACAGCATAAACTCCATCCAATTTCATCAGTGCCCCCATAACTTTTCTCTTAATGGATTTCTTAAATGATTAGACACAGGTGGTTTTCAATGATGTTCAATGACTACAATTCAAGATTTGATTATGTAAAAAAAAAAAAAAAAGATTTGAGCTTTTTTCTAGAAAATCCTTCTCTTTTACGGTTACCAAATTTAAAAAGAAGAAATATTTTTTAAAGTCTAACAACCCCTCATGTCTGACAAAAAAGAAAAAAAAGATCTGCTGCTTTCCAGTTACAAAATGTTTAGCAAAAGGAAAACAATTGCTGAGCAGCTGCACGTTAACCCTTTTACGTGAACGTGAACCCTTTTGTATTTGACGGTTGTGCTTGCCAAAACATGCACACGCATTAACATGGATAGATGCAAAAAACTACACTGACTGATATCAATGGCCACTGCCACTCACACGTCAGACTAAACTGCTGTCAGAGGGGGAAAAGTTGCCTCTTGGAAGCTAAAACAAGGCCAACTTTAATCAAGTCATTTTCATTTAAGAAGTGTGTTGCCGAAGCATTATTTGCTCTACAAATGCACACACAAAAACAACAACTTACCACCCTGAATTGAAGCCCAGAAAGTGACGAAGAGAAGAAGGCTGCTGTGAGGAGACATAGTCAACAACTGATGGATGAGGCTCTGCTGTGACTGCAATCTGGACCATTGAAGGTGTGGTATCAGTAAGCTGCTGCTGCTGTTGTGATTTTCTTCCTGAAGGTGTCTGAACTTTATGCCTCTCCTTTCCTCTGATGTCATGGTTGAGGCTCCCCCCATGCCTTGCCTGTCATGGAGCCTCAGCGAACGACCCCAGGGTGTTCCAACCTGTGACACATTCCAGAAATATCTGCTGCTCTGCAGAGATAAATATCATCTGCCAAGTGCCACTTATGTCTGCGGTTTTCCTTTGTCTGAGCTGAAGTCTCGCTATGGGAAAGATGCGATCACCAACACAGACTGTTGTACGCAGAAACTGATGAGGAAGGACCAGGACGAAAACATCCAAGTGAGTGTAGGAAACACACGTGGGAAGAGATGAGAGAGGATATGAGGCAGTCACATTGTGGGAACATGATAGAGACACTTTGAATTGGATTTCGTTGTCTTCTGGAACGTATCATAAACTAAAAAAACAAACAAAAAAAGGGAAATAAAGCCACAAAGACTCAAAAGAATAAAGATCACAGTTGAAGAGTTTGATTAAGTTTCTTGACCCAGGTCTTTATCGAAATACTTTATATTTGTACTTTAATATTGCCCTTTTCTGTTTCTACATAAATACATATCATTGTCAAATATGAAGTGCTTTAAGTCAAATCCTTTTCCTGCCAAGGAGCAACACTGTCTCCAAAACAGATCAATGTAGAGTTTTTTTTCTTATAATTGTAGTTTTGTTGTAATCAGAGAATAGTATTTGTTAAGATTGGTCAAATAATCTGAGTGTAGGAAAAACCACATCAGAAAACAAGACAGTTTTTTTTATTTGTGAAAAGTTGTTTCTTTAGAGAATGTTTTTTGGTGCTGGATCACTGGGATAGGCTCTAGTTCCCCCCGCGACCCCATTAGGGAAAAAGAAGTAGCGATAATGGATGGATGGATGGATGGATGGATAGATGGATGGGTGAATGGATGGATGGTTGATGGAGCACTATGGATTAACTGTACATGAAAATCCCATCAATTTTCAAAGCTTCAGTAAAATTAGGGGATTATCGGTTTTGGATGTAGAACACTGACAGATTATGAAGTCTTTAGGGCGTAATAGATGGAGATTTTAGTTTGATACTTCAATCAGGGCATTGTGCTGTAGTAAAGAAATGTTGGTTCACATGTTGTTTACTGCCAAAATGATTAAGGAGCTGCCTTGTTGGTATTTTAGTAAAATAACCCTTTATTTCAGACTGTATCATATGCTCAGCACTGATAGCACAACAGTACTAAAATGAAACAAAAATGTATACTTAAACCTTAAAAATGAATACAAAAATAATTCACAAACCATCTAAATTATTTGTCTGGTCAATTGAAAATGTACCTTTGATTACAGCAGGGACATTTTCCACTGTGAGCCTCATTGGTTTTGGAGTAATTCACAGCTCTTAAAAACTTTAGTGGTTAAAAATTAATCAAAAGGTGAAAATAAATTGAGGATGTGCCTCTCTGAACAACATGACACACAATTTTGTACATTTGACTAAGCTGATTCCCCATGGTTGATTACTGGTGACACATAATGTGGCAAATCCCTGCCCAGAGGCATGAAGGATCCCTGTCACATCACACCCACATGACCTGCCGAGGCAGGTCAGCCACATCGGATTCATGCTGATAGCCAAATGCCCACCTGCACACATGCAAATGCAGTAAGTACATCCTGAGATGTGCTGTGTAGATACAGCTGAATGGCTGTCATTTTCCCATGGGTGACAGAAGATTTAATCCTCTCTTTTAGGGGACTTCATGGGATGCACACAGTGTTTCAGGAAAAGAAAATTCAAATGGTGATGGATATTTAGCCACTTTAACAGAGTACTGTGCATTTGTGGGGAACTAAACTAAACTTTAAATGAAACCAACACCCTAACCTATGGTACAAGTAGAGGGGAGGTGTTTTTCTTTTTCAGGCGATGATTTTGTGCTATGAAAGATTTTATTTTCAGCTTCACATTGTGATCATTCGTCACCTCAGTATTTTTGTGGGGCATTTTTTTAATTCATCAGGAGAGAAATGTTGTAATTGAATTGATCTGTGTCACATATGTAACATACTAGGCTCCCTGGAGGGAGGTAGAAACATGTTTCCCTTATGTAAAGAGTTGTGTATTTGACCTTTTAAAACTTGACAATTCTGTAGATTTTTCACATTCTTTCACCAGAGGTTGGTAAGTTCAGTCTCCTCGGGAGTACAGATGTGACCCCTCCCCAGGGATCGTCCCATCATATAAAGCTGCCCCATCACTCAAAAGTGGATGGCTTCTAGAGGAGAGGGAAGTAAATGAGGAAAACGTTTCAGATTATACAGCGGTATCAGTAATTGCTGTAGTCTATGAAGATCTTTATTTCTGATTCCATTAAAAATGCCGACTCGTGCTTACCAAAGCTCATGTGGGACTTTGAAATGTCTCCAGAACATTTGCAGTTTAAGGTCTGACTGAACTACTTTGTAACATCTTTTGGCTTCCCTTCAATAAACTTGAATAACATGCCTGTGTAAGCTTTACATAACCCCATCTAGTTGTGCTGTTTTTTTTTTATTATGGCCACTGGTAAGGCCACTGGCAGAGAACCAATAGTAATGCAGGGGCTGGGTGAGATAGACATAATCAATGTAAATATTGTTTTCTTTGCTTTGATTCAGCTTGAAATATCATCACACTTTGTGTTTTTAAAAGATTATTGACATAGGAAACTAAAAGCTGGCCCACATTGCCCGCCTTAATTCCAAGACTTAATGGCATGTTATAAAGCCTAATGTGAGCTTGGAACTGATAAGCTTAGTTCCAGCAACTTTATGACAAAACCATATTCATGGAGTCAAATTTGTGATCCTTGATGTCAGCGACATCTAGTGGTAGACGAGAAGTCATCCAGCCACGTGGCACATCAGCAAAAAAAACGGGCAAAAGTAGATATTTGCGACATTTTATATTTAGTCTTAAATTTTCAACCAGACACAGCAGGCTAAAAGATGGTTTTAAAACTAAACCTACCTTAGCCCCTCTAGAGAGGATCAAGGATATTTTTTTTAGTTACCCTGCCCATTGTGTGATGTCAGTGCGAATTATCCACCTGCAATTGCATCACTTTCAATGTGTTACAGGCAATACATCTGGAAAAATTCTAATTTTTCAGAGTAAGTAGAGCCTAATAGAAGCCTGGCATTTTGGATGGATGGTTGGCTGTTAAGAAGTTATTGTTAAGGAAGAGAAACAGGAAGAAAACAAAGCTAAGGTATACCAAATGTCTAAAGAAGTGGACCACAAATCGGTGACAACATTTCTTTTGTATTTATTCACTTACTCATGATTTTCATTTCTGAACTTGTGGTCCTGTAGTTCGTCCTTGTGGGGAACTGGTCAACTGTAGCTAACTGCATGACGAAATCATATAAGTATATATATGTTTGAAAAAAAAACTCCCCTTTATTTTGAAGAGAAGAATGACAAGACCTCAAGGAAGTCTGGTGCGTTTTTTTTATTTTTTCTTAATGACTAGAAATTTTGCTGTGGGAAATTTGCAGGGCACTTGATTCTCTGGTACCAGCCAAATCACTGTTCCATCTTTGTTACCAGTTAGAATTACAAGAACATCATGAAAAAGACACATGTAACAAAAAAGTTTCTCTTTGCAGAAAACAATAACCTTTTTTTTTTTAAAAAGGACAATTTTGAAATAATGATCATTGTCATTTAATAACAATAAATAAGGAGCGCTCTTCCCTGTACAGACATATACTCTAATCTAAAGTCTTTTGTAATAAAAATAGAACTTCAGTGCATACACACATTTCTCCTCTTTCTTCTGGATCTCCATGATGCAACTCTCATTTACTCTGGCAATAAAGCATTGGCCTTCAGAACAGAAACAATCAAAACACCAAATATTTACCCTCTTTAAGAACATAAAAAAAGCATATATAAAAAAATTCACAGCCTTCTCTTTGTCTATCCGTACTGTACATCTCAAAGACACAAACCTGGACAGAAAAGGCACAAGTAACTACATTTTGAGTAATACTGAACAAACATAAATGGAATTAGATTTGATTAAAGATTTTGGTCATTTACAAATGTATTCATTTTCCTCGTACATATATTTATTAAACAGTTTTAAGAGAGATTACCAGTATCTATTCAGATACGGGAGGGATATATTTATATAGATGTATATATATATATAATTTATATGGAGAGATTTACAGAAACATTATTTTCACACAGAAAAAGTGCATTATTTTTATACCAAACCTGAATATTGCCAAAAAACAAACATTTAAGTTAACAATAGTATTGAAAACTGTATAAAACAAAGCAATAAAAAACAAGACTAGTGTAGCAACAAATAAAGCAAAATGGGATGCAAGATGCATCAAGGTGTCAACACTGTTAAGTGCTCTGTTCTGTTCTGGCTGAGTCTTCTTTAGCTTCTCCCTCCTCCTTTTCACTACCTGATGGTAGCTCCTCCCTCTCTGGCTGCTGTCCAATGGCACACGAGGCTACAGGGGCTGTTATGCTGAGGCTAAGTGCTCTGGTACGACCGTCTCTGCTGCTGTGTTCTGTAGTCTCAGTAGCAGACCTGTGGGTGTGGACGGAGCCATGCGAGCTGCCATATTGCTTTGAGTCTGTGGTCTCCAACTCCGCTTTGGAAAACGTTAGTGCTGTGCTAAGACCGTGCCGCACCGACTGGCTGGTTCCTGCTGATTGGTGCTCTGACCAGTTGTCTCCAGGAGTCCTAAGCCCTTGAGTCCTGGGGGTCCCGCCCCAGTATGATTCAAACCGGGCCAGCGAAGGCCCCTCTAGCGGGGGAGATGTCGGGGATGACGGTGCAGTGGGGTGGGACCTTGGTCTGGCCTGTACCATTTGGATCCCACCAATTGGGATCATCAGGTAGGGGACCTTGGCTTGTTGGGAGTGCATGGGTAGATGGCTGAAGATGTTGTCTGTACTTTGGAGGCCGGGGTAAGCGTCAGAGGTGGACAGACGAAAAGCAGGTGGAAACAAACACGCGTCTGCCAATGCTGCCCCTTCTTCTGCTGCGCCACCTTTCGCCTGTAGGGGGCACAACCACACTGTTATTGCAAATCACTCGGCATCCAGTACACAAAGTACTGTGTATTGACATCTTCCCAGGGAGGAGGTTCAGAGAAAATCATAGAAAATACATGAGAAAATACATACATGTATGCATTATAGGTATGAATAATAAAACTGACTGACCACTTTGACATGGCCTCCTTTTGTGTGCGGACTCTCCCACGGCAGGTATCCGGGGGTTCTGTGCTGCACCCCCAGAGGCAATGGAGGGGTCCGAACTCTAGTTGACCGGTAGCAGCTGGGCGAAATGGGACGAAGAGGAGAAAGAGGTCTGATGGGAGACGGTCCCCTCTCCGGGGAGGGCGAAATGTGTCGGCTGGGGGAGGACAGCTCGGTCCTGGGGGACAGGCTGCGGATTGGGGAGGAAATTTCCAGACGGGGGGAGAGGCTGCGACTCGGGGAGCAGCTCTCACTGCTCGGGGAGAAGGCTCTGGCAGACGCTTTCCAGCCTCGTCTGGAAAACAGCGCTCTCCTGCTGCCCGGTGAGGCCGCCCGCCTGCTGGACCAGACCCCCCGCGGAGAGGCCTCCCGACCAGGGCTGGGACTGGGCTCCGGATCAGGAGTGCTCTGCTGCGAGCGCCGGCCGCAGCTGGAGCGTCCCCCGGTGGACGGGTGGGTGTCGGAAGAACAGGAAGATGGCGGGTCTTCATGGGAAGCAGATTCCTCCTCCTCCTCCTCCTCATCATCTTCATTGTCCTCGTCATCCTCGGTCTCGTCCACATCGGAAAACTGATGGTCCTCCTGTTCTTCTGAGCCGCGTGCACGCTCATCGCTTCCAGCTTTTAATGAGACACAGAAATACACAAACATCTTCTTAATTTCCCAGAACTTCTGAACTAAATGGAAGAAGTTGTGCAATAAACCTTCACAGAAAGCTTTAACAGAGAAATCTCTTGGAATGAGCACAAAGAGTGATGGCTGCACATTTTACCTGTCCCCCATCAAACTAGGTTGTAAAGGAGTGCGTCTCGCTCTGTATTCTTAATTTATTTATCTTACGCTTTTTCATAGTACTTTTGCAGGGCCATAGGGAGGAGAATAGAACATGGTGTTGCATAAGCTGTCAGTACTGAGCAGCTACTATTCTTTACAGGCAGAAGTTCATCCAGCTGTGCACTGATAGCTCTACTGAGTGGAAGGGAAATATGCAAAATGCATCTCCATCCCCTGAAGTACCTGTTTCCTCGCTCTCTGGCTCGTCCAGGGATGACTCAGACACTCCCATAGCCTGGCATTTTTTCCCATGAGCCTTTGACTTCATGTGTTTTGTAAGGTTTCCTAAGAAAAAGAAAAAAACAACAGATGCCCTGAAAAATAGACTTGACTTATGAAATATAAGAAAAATTAAGGTACTACACTCTTAGGACAGAAAGATTGCAATTGCAACCTGTGTTTGATTTAACTTGAAATGTATCTGTTCACCTTTGGTTTTAAAGGCGAAGTTGCAATGTTTGCAGATATATGGGCGGACATCAGTGTGTGTTCTGATGTGCTTTTTTAGCATGCTAGGCTTTTTGCAGCGAATGCCACACTCTCCGCATATGTATTTCCCCCTGCCACGCCCTCTCACATAGACATACTCTTCATTGGACTTGTACCTAAAATAAAAGAGAAAAGAAAGAAAAGGCTAAATTAGTTGAAAAAATATTGAATTTACTATTAATTCATACCTCTGAGTGGCTAGACGTGGTTGTCAGTCTATCACAGGGCCACACACACACTCACTCCTAAGGTCAATTAGGAGTAATCAATTTATCGTGTCTGTGGATGGTGGAATAGAGCCAAACAGAATACATACACAGGGAAAACATGTTAAGTCCATATGTGAAGGATCTCAGCCAGGAACACTCTTGCAGTGTTGGAACAGTGATAAGAATAAATATTTATTCTTATAAGAAATATAGAAAATAACTAATGATAATAATTTGCACACTATTTAATTTGAAGATACACTGTGAAAACAGTTCATGAAAGCAATGTTGATTGATATAATCTTAGCTGGAGGAATAACATCGTAACTTCAAAGTTGGCTAGTGATTTTCTGTGGCTTCATTGCTATGGGTGACCCCATTACACAGTCATTCCATAGTCATAATGTTCCAGTGAAAATATTGATCACATCATCTTTAAGCTGCTTTTTGATGAATGTGGACAGTTATATGCACAAAGACGCATGCATACAAGACATGGGGAAACAAGGCTTTCTTTATGGAGGCGGGTCAGGGAAGCCCAACCAAAAGCCTAACAGCACTGACTCCCTTGGCTGTACTCTCTGCTACACCCCAGCACAAAGAATACCAGCTATTCTGCTGTGATCAGATGGTCCAGCCAACAACAGCAGCAGCTAAAGAGAGGGAAGGGAAGCCTGGCTATGGTCAACAACCCGAAATAGACACTACATATAAAAATCAAGCAACACATTTAGGTTTAGTCTATAAAAACACTGTTTATGCACAGTCTTCTTGTTTACCCACAGACTATTTGCAGACACAGTAGACCACAGATGTTTTATATCAGAATAAATTGTCCTCTATGAAAAATTCCAGCTCTCCTCTCACTGCTCATGAAAAGATGCTGAATCCCTTCCGAGTTGTAAACACCCAGTGTGTGCTGACTTTATTTAATTACAGGATATGAACCACTTCTACAATACTCCCTGTTGTATGACAGAAGTAGCAGAACCAAATCATAACAAACTGTAAAAATGTCTTAACAGTGACATTATTCTGTATTCATTTGGGAACTGGCTACTGTTTAGCTAGCAAGTGTAACTTCTCACTGCTAAAAATATCTAATAAAAAAAAGAGAAGAGAGTTGCACTGCTCTTTTCGGGCTTCGTGTTAGCTGCAAGTTTCTGGTAGATTCAGCCAACAATTCAGAGGTAATTTGGACAAAAGAATAATTTTACTGTCTGATAAACCTGATAAATCTACTGAATTATCACAGGAAACTACTGAAACACAATCATGGTATCACTGGTCCTTAGTGACAATGTTAAAATAAAGATGTTATATCCTGAATGTGTGTTACTCACATACAGCATGTATTTTACATATGCCTCAACCAAATAACCAGTATGGGTAAAATGCTAGAACAAACCTCCATTGTTTACTCATTTCAATTATGGAAATCAAACTGCTTTTTGTGACAGCTTCTAGTCACAATTGAACTTGCACTCACCAAAGGTGACGTTTTATAGACTAGCCATAAGAAAACAAAAGAAGACTGTGGACCACTGTTGTACTAACGCGTCTCTCACATTGCATGGAAACTAGCAAGTCACTGAGAAACAAACAAAGCTGCAAGATGCAAATTATAATTGAAGAATGCTCTGGAGTTGCACACACACTGTAAACATCATTTCAAACTTTTGACAGTAGGAAGATATGAATAATGAGTGCAAACATTCTGCTGTGTTGACGAGTGAATAGCTGTGTTTTTTTCTGGATGCATGGAGGCAATGCAGAAGGACATCAAGGGACAGAAATACACAGGCATAGAGAAAAGACTCAGAGGACGTTCGAGGGAAAGCCAGAAAAAAAAATTGGTGTAAGTAAAAGTAGAAGAGCTGCCAGAGTGAAACAGGCTGCATGAGCAGAGGAAGAAGAGTGGTGGAATAGGGATAGAAAAGAGGAAGACGGAAGAAAGCTGTGGGCTGTTTATGGACGAAAATGCACTTCCTGGATATGTTTAATGTGTGTCTAAAAATTATAGACTGGTAATTAGTGCCTTATCTACTGTTAAGCAGACTACTGCTCCACTCTCAATCTGCTATACACTCAAGGCCTTAATGTGGAAGTGCTGACATGTGTAGAAGCAAAAAGAAAAATGAAGAAAAAAAACAAGCTAAATTATAAATCTTTTATCAAATGCCTCTCTACAATCTGTTCCATATCTACCTAAATGAATACTGGAAACTCTTAAATTAAAACAGTAGTATTTTACACCTCTCAACTACTCGAGCAGTTCAAAGTTTTCCATCTTGGTTTCTGGTTTGTCATTTTTACTAATTTCTGACATTGCTTCAGAGTGAGGACATCTGTATATATTTGGCTGTTGGGGAAACTTTTAGCTCTAAACACAGTGAACCAGGGGAAGCGGATGTGCTGCACTGGAGAGGATCTTTCAGACATTTATGAAAGGCACAGAACGCTCCCACTATATGTGTGCATGAACTGGTCTGAAGACGAGTACGCAGACACACTGTACACAAAAAACACAACTCTGACTGTGATGGCTTGCAGATTAGAACATACTTTGTCTCTAGATTTTCACAGTATCTTACAGTAACCATAAAAAGATATTAATGAGTTTTCTGTACTGAAGTCGGACGCAAGCTATCCTCCTTCATGCACACAAAGGCACACTGCCATCTCCCCAAATTAACACATCTTAAACACACAGATTCATGCCAGCAGAGAGAAGAAAAAGCTTGGCTGCAGGTACAAATGAAATCCCTGAAGGCCCCACTGCCTCCCATCTGCTACTCCAATTTTTTGTGCACTCTTGTCAGCTCTCCATAATTGTTGTTCAACTGTCATCAGACAAAGAAAAAAACTTGTGTATTCAGACAGTTCCACAACTAAAAAAACACTTGATAAAAAGACAAAACAGCCAAAATCTCATTCATTTCTTACCCTCCTTCAAAGATACGAATCCGGGAGGACTCGCCCTGTTTGGAGGTGGATGGTCCTTCCTCTTCTCTCATCTCTTTATTTCCCTCTTTTTCATGTTTTTGCTGATCCTTTACGTCGGTGAGGGGGCTGGGTGGTGTGGCATGTACCTACACTCGAGACAAATAATCAATACAGAAAAAAAGATAACTCAAAATAAAAATTCTACTGATCTAGAAGTGTGTTCTTATAACATTCCAGAGCAAATCAACATACTGAGGGTTTGTTGAGCTGAAATGGATTAAGAAAACTTGTAGAAATGTTGTCATGACCTGACACACTCCAATATGTGTAAATAGTGGAGATTCACTAAATGAAAGGTAATTGAGTATGATGTACTGTGTCTAGGTTTACCTCTGACACATTTGGTGTCTTGCTGCTTGCAGAGGTCAGCTTTCCTCTGGATGGTGTTGGAGCAGTAGCCATGGTGTATGTCTCAGAGCTGTGCTTCTGTTTAGAGCACAGCAGGGACAGGGCCACCTTAGTACTGAGCCCCGGCAGGTTGGGATTGTGAGCACTGACGCTCCATGTAGAATATACTGAGGTACAAGGGTCCCTCTGGGGAGATGGATTGGGTTTGACATACTTTAGGTAGCACCAGTTGACAGAAGTGGTAGTATGGAGGCTGGGGTATGAAGGGGTGGGTGGTCTCTCAGCCCCCTCAACAGTTGGCACTTCCTCCTTATTTTGAGTTATCTTCTCAGATGACTTCTCTTCCTCCTTTTTTTCCCCATCATTTCTTCTTGGTACTTGGTCCTGCACCTTCTCCAATTTCACAGATGTCACTTCAACCTTATCTAGTTGTTTCTTTTCTCCTTCCAGTTTCCCCCCTGTGTCTTCACTTTCTTCTTGTCTTATCTTTGGTTCTAAATCCCTCTCATCTTCCGTCTTATGTTGCCCCTCCTCTTCTTCCTCTTTTACTCTTTTCTGGTGACGCTGAGCTTCTGTGCTGAGCTCAAGACTAGCTGCAGGTGAGAGCATGCGTTTGCTTCCTCCAGCCCCTAGTGGACCATATTCATCCCCAGAGCCAGAGGCTTGATCCGTTGGCAGAGAGAGAGGAAGGAGGCTTTTCATGTCTGTCGAGGGGACCTTTAAATAGGTCCTCTGCATTTTTTCCTGTTCCATCTGACTCATGATCACCATCGTTGTACAAGAAGTTGGTTCCTGTGAACGGGTGGAAGCTAAAATCTGGGATAAGGTGGTGTACATAGCATTGGCAAAGGTTGGCCTATGAGTTTGGAGGCGCACTGGCACCACGAGAGACACTACTGGTGCAAGCTGTGCCAGACATGTGGCTATAACTGGCCTTGGGTGGTGGCAGGAGATTGTCACAATAGATTGATGGCTAAGGGGGGAGGGTCTGCTTTCTGTTGTTGATGGAGAAGAACCATGTGTGGTAAGTCTCGTTGGGACAGGCAGGTACATAGCTTCATTTAATCTTGGCCTGGAGGAGAATGTGAGAGGAACTAGAGGAGGAAATTGATGCAGTGGTATTCTCAGCCGTTCTGCCATGGGGATGTGTGCTGGGTTCACTTGTATGGGTGAAGAGGCTGTGTGTGAATGTAAGAAAGCTCTGTGGATAACTTGGGTGGACAGTACCTCAGATATGGCTGTGGTGATTGGGAGTAGTTGTGATAATGATACTGGGGGGAACATATGATAGGCATGCTGCCCTCTGGGCTGCAAAGGAACCAAATCCTGAGATGATGGGAAGATTTGTGGTGGAAAAAGCTGCAAGGATTTTCCTCTAGCTTCCAGACTAAACCTGGTGCTTACATCAGTGGAATAGAGAAAGGGATTGTTAGAGTGGGATGGACCAGGAATAGGACCTTCTAATCTGGACAACTGACTAATGTTCCCCCCCATCTCCTGCTCAGGTTCGCCTAAGGTGGCAGGTAAGGTAAGAAGACACTTTCTCCTTTCCTTCCAGGATGAAGTGGACTGCTGAGGGGACAGAGATCCATAATCGAAGGACTTACTTCTAGTCTCTGTGGTTTGCTCTGTTTGTTGTGGGCTAGAGGGGGTCTGCTCCGAGGCTGAGCGCCTCATCTCCTTGTGGCTTTGTTGATGTTGGTGAGGAGCAGATGGTACCATCAACATCTGGGAGCTTTGGCTGCCAGTGGTCCTCGACACTGGCTCTGATCGTGCTGTGTCCTCAAAGGAAGCGGAATGGCTTGAGATGTTGCTCTCTTGACCAGGGCTGCGGGGCATAGACAGAGACTCAAAGCTAGACTCTCCAGAGGACTGGGCAGCTTCTGCTAGGCGGAGCCTTTTCTTTTTTGGTGGAAGCTTCTCTGCAGGGAGCTGGGCAAGAGTTTGGCTACGTTGTGGCCATTGGAACTCTTCAACTTTCTCTGGCTCCTAAAACACATAGATCAAACTTTCAATTATATGTATAATGATGGACACTCAATGCTTATATCTTAGAATAGAGATACAATTATATACCCCAAGGCCCTATGGTTGAAAGAATGAATGAAAAATTAGGACCTTTAAAGAATTATGTACCTTGGAGGAAGGTCCTGCCACTGAGGGAGAAACAGAAGGCATGTCAGCATCAAGTTCCAAAGTAACAAGGATCTCCGGCACTTGGATGTTTGGCTGGCGGATGAGGCGTGATGTAGTGGGTGATGGTTTTGGCTCAGGTTGTTGTGATTGCTGTTGCTCTCTGAGGTCTGGTTCCTGGCTTTCCATAGATACACTCTCCTGTTTCTCAAAAGAGCTAGTGTGCTGGATGACAGACACACCCTTCCTATCCTGCTGCTGCTGTTGATTTGGCTCAGTCTGTAAAGTAACACCTAGAGAAAAACACCAGTAAAAAGAAAAGTGCCTGATTATCATATTATACTGCTACAGTGCTACTGAATGAAAACATTTGGCTGTTTAAAACTCTAAAACATTTATACTGAGTAGCATTCTTACACATTTCTTTTTTCTTCTGTTCCTTAAGGTCCTTTTATGATAATGCATTAGATGGAGATAGCTCCCAAATGTAAGGATTATGATATAACAAGAATCATAGTATCAACTTAATTATTACCATATGCATACATAAACAAACCTGAGAGGGCCTGGCTGTGCTCTGGTCTGCTATGTATTGAATGGAGCCCTGCAGAGCTGCCTGACATGGGTACACATCCAGGGCTGGGAGGATCTTCCTCCAGGCTCTCCTCTTTCCTCCTCTTCCTGACAGCCATGGCCAGGGCTCGGAACTTATAGTGCATCATCAGGGGCCGATCCTCCCTGCAGGTTTTACCTGCATCTCCACTCTCCTTTTCCAGTCCCGGACAGATGCCTCTATGAGCCTCATGGCCTTCACTGTGTTGGAAGCTGGCTCCGCATGCTCCACATTCAAACGAACCAGTACTTTTTTTATGTTGCTGTTGTGGATGCTTGGCTGGTTCAGTGCATCTGACTGAGGAGGATGTGGAGGCAGGACTAGCCTCTTCCAACATTAACTCAGCACCAAGAGGGACCTCTATGGCAGGCTGGCGTTTCAGCAAACGCTGGGCTCCCCTCATCTCTGCTACCACTGCTTGCTGCTCATCAAAAGACTGGCAAAGGCGGTAACCTCTTGGAGAAATAGTGCCAGAGGTGCTGGGCTCTGATTGGCTGGTAGATGATGGCATTGAGTGGCTTCTCAGAAGAGGCACTACTGACTGTTCCTGTGCACCAGGTGGATCTGCTTCTGGGTTCTGGAGATGTTTCAAACCACTGGGACCTGCTGACTCTCCTTTGGGATCAAATGTGTAAGGATCTTTAGGAGTGATAAACTTGGGTGACTCCAAGCTGCTCTTCCTGGAGAGGGAGGAGCGTCTGGGCTTCACACTGTCAATCTCACTCGTGTCCACCACTGCTTCATTGATAGTGATGAGCTTGGTAATGTGTTCTATGACTTGGGTTTTGGGGACAGCAAAGGAAATGCTTTTGTCCTCAGTTCCTGAGGATGAGGAATGTGAAGAATGAGGCTGCTGCTGGTGGGGACTGCGTTGCTGCCCCCCAAGCCTCCCATACTTCCCAAGAATAATTTCCGCATATGTTTTGGCACTGGAACTGGGAGGGCTTACTTGGGAAAGGTCAGTACTGCCAGATCCAGAGAAGTATCCAGACTCTGTGCTGCCTTTACTACCAGGACCAAGAGAAGAAGATGACGTGGAGAGCGAGGATGGAGGGTCATCTGGAGAAGCCATGGGGCCACGTTTCCTTTCACTAAGCCTCAGTGCCAGTCTTTGCTTAACAGCTTGGGAATCCTCAGGCCGCTGGTTCTCCTCTGAGCTTCCCAGCCACTCTTTCCCTTTCTTCTGCTGTTTGAGCATCTCCTTGGAGGAGGATTTTCTATGCTGGCCTGTCTCCTCTTCAGACTCTGTGCTTTCTCCATCCGTATGCTCCTCAGGGTCTTCTCCAACACCACTACCCTCTGGGCCACTCAAACTTGGCTCATCACGAGTAGACGCCAGACCTGCTTTAATCCGATGGGCATGTGACTTACGGTGTTTATATAGATTGCTCTTGGTTTTAAAAGAAAAGCCACAGGGGGCACAAGGGTAGGGCCTTTCTCCTGTATGGGAGCGTATGTGTTTCTGAAGAACGCTTGGCTTGGCACATGGACGGCCACAATAAGTGCACACATATTTCCCTGGTTTCTGTGGTTTCTTCTCCCCCTTTCTGGTTGAGCTGAGGCCTTCTACCTCTTGGCTTGTGTGAGGTTGGACTCCATGGCCAGGATCACCCTGGGTGGAGGATGTAGACGGGAGGGATGAGGATGAGGCCATAGAGAAGAAGCTGCCTCCTGAAGGACCTGTGGGGTCTGAATGCTGCCATGCTGCTGCTTGCTGCTGCTGTAAACGAAGCAGGTCAGTACGTTTGGATTGGCGATTTTGAAGGCGGCCCAGGGCTCTGTGTACAGGGCGGGGATTAGGAAGCTGCTGGGGCTGCTGAGATAGACAAGATCCCAGTGAAGATTCAGCTGTCACATGCTGCTGTTCTTGTCTTCCAGAGCGCTCCCCCTCAGCCGGACGGCTGGGCTCAGTCTCCATAGAGTGTGGGGAGACCTCACAGAAACGTAACGGAGGGCTCTCTGAGCCTCATTGGTCCAACCACATGGCAACAAAGAGGTCAGACGCAGGTAAACGTCGACAGACTGAATTGTGAATCAAAATGGAGGACCTTTTTCAGTGTGGGCCGAGAGTTATTGAAGAACAGCAAATGAGGCATCATTAAAAAGTGCCCTGGAGCTGTATGGATGCAGGTAAACATAGATGCTCTCTCTGTGCATTGCAGCTCTCCCTCTGTCTCGCCTCAGCCATCCTAACAGTCCTCCCAAGGTCTTCACTGCATCTCTTTTGTTGGTTGTCAAGAGTGCCAGCTGTTCAGCTTCTGAGTGAGTCTAAATTAACACAAAAACATAAAATACACAGTCACAAAAGATTCAGTTTATATATACTTTATATTTTTCAGATGCTTAAACCTATAGGCCTATAGTTGAATGCAGATCCAAAGCTTTTCCCTCTTCATTTTCTATTCAAAGCAAGCATACATGCTATTTTTACATGAAAGGTGTGGTGGCAAAGAAAACTGTGCTGGGAAAAAGAAAACATAGCTGCCCTCACACCTTAGCCAGGTTCTACAAAGCGCTTTACAAAGGGTTACTCACTCATCAGTGCACAACAACACTAAACCAGCACTTCTTATTACACACTGCCAGGCCCAGCACATTTTTCTTCCATTACAGCCCACATTTGACACAGAATTGCTTTAATGAGCTTATGTACAGTGAAGTCATCAAATTTCTGTCTTTAAAAAAAATTACTTTTAAAACAACATTGGCATAAAGTATTTTTTCACATATCCACAAGATTGTGAATGGTGATAAAGTTTGAATTTTATAGAGGTCAATGCATGTGTGAAAATTATGTGTTGTGCTCCCTGAACCATTATTTACAATTTAAGGCCCATAAATCCTGTAGTTGTCATCTTGGAATATGTCAGGGGCCCTTGAGGAAGAAAATTAAAAGTAAAATGTAATCCCATCTAAACGTCTATAAAGCTCCCCAAAATTTTGACAAAAAAATAAATACCCATGCACAGGTCTACTCTGCAGGAGTCACAGAATCTCTGTGCCAGCCAGGCAACATAACAGCAGGGACACCAATATACGAGGCCCTTATGTCAGTGAGAAGAGTCAAAACAAATGTTGGCCCATGCTTATCTGATCTGGCAGTGAAGCTGAGGGGGGGTAAATGGTGTGGGCTGATTTCTAGTACCACAACAGCTGCGTTTCAGCCTACGCTCCTTATACTATACTGCCACCAGGGTGCAAAGTTTATGAGGAGCCAAGACAAGAATCAGAGTCTGTTGTGGCACGACCTCGTAAAACCTTTTATCAAGATGGATCTATTGTAATATTTCCCACTTAAGCACTAATCGAAAGCCGTGTTTATGAAGAACTAAGAATAGCTTATCACGAAGACTTTGAGATGAGCCTACAATGAAATCTCATCCCTTATCAAGATGTATGTGCTGTAATATTTCCCGCTTACCATAAAGCATGCACTCAGTCTCAACTTCAGACATGGAATTCTTGTACTGCAGCCAATCGTAGCACATTCAGGGAAAGGACTGAGCCAAGCACAACATTTTCATTGAGCAGCCATGCCAGACTGCTGACAGCCGTAGCACTGGCTTTTCCAGAGTATCATTCACTATCTGAGACACTGACACCATTTGCAACCCCCATAACTATGTCAGACTCTAGAAATCAGGGCTAATTTAAGGAGGACACCATGTGTGTTCCCTTTACATCAGCTGATACTTGCAGCAGTATGACATTGATGAAAGGCACCAAACATATTTTCCATAACAAAAGACATAAGATACAAGGTACGCATAAAAAGGAATTAAACTAGAGCCAGGGAAAGTAAACATGGTTTATCCAGCGGCTAAATAATCAGACCCAACAGAAAAGTGCTGCTTGTGGTGCTACAGGAGCAATGCAGTAATGACAACTTTTTATAATGAGCAACACTTTGACCCTCTCCATATGTCTGAAAATACCCAGCTCAGTCAGCCTTCATTAGAGCCAGTTTACAGAGAAATGAAGAAAAAAAAAAAACACCTTTCCTCTTGGAAACAACTTCACAGATTCTTGGATCTGTCTCCACGTTTCCTCACACCTGCTGAGGGCCAAACATCTGTCCGGTTTGTGTTTCTCTGAGCACACCAGTGCCTTCATTCCAGCGGATTTTCAGCATCGACACTCAGTAATTACGCAGTGTAACAAACTGAAACAACACAATTAAAATTCACTCCTCTAAATTTCTTTTGCTGTCTTGCATGTGTTGGTGGCAGCATTTCTTTTTTTTGTCTTGAGATGTCGAGTTAGACAGACATTGTTCTCCAGAAACAGTCTTTTCAAATCTTGACTGAAGGGTGTTATTAACTACACAGATAAGGCATAAGAAAAGAAGTATAGAAAGAAAATGCAATAAGAGCAGCATCAAATGGGTGAAGATATGAAAAAGCACGAGGGACAGGATCTGAATAAAAGCTCTGAGCAACAGGGGAAAACACAAAGGGCAGGACAAATAGTTTTCCTCCACTCCCCCGTATTGAATGTCTTAGTTCATGCCGTTGGTTATCAGAGTTTAGGTTTAATGATTTCAAGGATAGCTGTTAATGTCGCCTTTGAACAGGGCAATTAGAAAGTCTTTTAAGATTTGGAATGAGCGCTGTGTACATTATTCATTGCAGTCTAGACTGCCAGGTCTGAGTGAGGAACTGCACAGTCTGGGCTGTGCCAGGAAGATGAGGGAAAGGAATACCAGACTCCAGGCTGCATTGAGCCAAAGCATGCACACCCTAAAGCGCACATTCAGTACACAGCGCTGCTCTTCCCCGACCAAAATGTACAGCAACCCCAAACCAACTCTGACGGATGTGACCAGCGACTTGGTTGTTCTGCCCAGAGATGACCTACCCTGCCAGGGGATTTCCTTTTCTCATAACCATCATTCCACAGAGATGACATATAAACAGCGGTCCCTTTATACATATCATAACAGTGGTGAGTACGACTGAAAAATACTTTACAAAACAAATTCTTATGACAATGCAAGTTGGGAAAAATGAGTCTTGTAAGGTGGTAAGGGTGGGGCAGGGCCGTTCTTTGTCCTATTTTTGTTCTTAGGTGTGAGCAGCAAGACACTGATACGGCAGCTCAACAAGCTTGAATTCTGTTGTCTGGCACTTCATGTCAGAACAAAATTGTGCATTCTGAGATATTCAACCTGCAGTGTACGCTGCGATTTCCAGTGTAAACCTGTTTCTTGTGTCCATGCCTAAAATGTGATTAATGAATCTACCACAACGACTGGTAGGCGGAATGAGAGAGGAATTTGAACAAAGTGTGTGCACATGTGAGGGGGGCTTTGTCAGCAGAAACAGGCTGTGATGTAGGTACCCAAGGGAGCCCTGACACACAGAGGAGCTCACACTCGGTCTCTTTCAGACACACATGCCGTCACACACCGTCACGCACTGTCTCCTTCTATCATCTTTGCAGCATCCGTTCAGTCCGGCTCTTCTGAAACTGTAGATCTTATAAAACATTAAGCTTAGCTCTGGCCCAATAAGTAATACTTTAGCAGGCTCACAGTTAAAACTTTGTTAGTGCTGACAGGAGTGATCCCCTGGCAGGGGCTGTGCGCTATTCCTCATCAGAACTCTGATGCACTTATATTGGACCTGGTCATGAGGCATGATGGAAATTAATTTAGAAAAAAATATTTAAAAGCACTCTTTTTTGAGGAAAAAAACAGTCTGCTGTCAGACCAACCCCTAACAAACATGCACAAAAAAAATACTTCTTTCTCTCCCCCATTCCCTCTTACTGGCGGTAGCCTGGTGCATGTTCCCATGGAAACCATCCTACTCTGAGCAACAGCAGATGGAGAGGGAGCTGGAGGTCTAAATTTATCTCCCAGCATCCTCTCTGACTACAGACTCACACTGGCAGCAGGAAGTAAGGAGGGGAACTGCTTGGCCTCTGCGTGTGTTGACAAGCTGGCATGACCCTTGACTTTGAGAGCCCGTTTGAGTGGTGACTGGCTGATGTCAAAGCAAAGCACCGTCTCGATGAAGCAATTCAACATTTGATACAGAGCAGGAGACTCTTGTGGCATTCCCACACTGTAAAATAGAAAGTTCAATCGCCATCGCTCTCCTGCCACTGCCACTGACAACAGAGCTGCCATTCAAATACAGATCCCAAATTCCTAAACAGTAACACAAACCAGTGACTCCGGCTGTAAAACAGGACACGGAGCAGACCCAGTCGGGGATATTACCGCTGTTACTCTGCACCGAGGAGGACACCGACTACAAAACACCACATGCCAGAGTCCTCAGTCACACTCTCTCAGGTCTGTGCGGGATGCACCGGGCTCACTCAACCTCTGAGGCTAGAGGGATTTCACGAGGCTCTGATTGGACTGGCAGTTCACAGCCAATCCGCTGATCTGCTGATCAATTCCAGCCATTAAATCAAACAGGAGGGAGCAGAGTGGGATAATGCAAACACTTTAATTGAAAACTACCCTAGAAGCTTAGATGGAGGGATTGACCATTCTCCATCTTTTATCAGTAATTCATTTTTTCCCCCCAGCATCTTCCCTCACCTTTTTGATTTTATCACATCATTTTCCAGTTTAGGTTTTAGCTTATAATTGCACTGGAAATAAAATCTCTAATTGCACAAATTCTTCTTCTTTCTGATATTCAAGCTGTAACTGTCCAAATATTTGCACAATAAAAGGACTCCTTCTGACATGCTATCAATATCAGGTATACATTCAAGCCAGTGAAAGAGAAAAGCCAGAATCCTTACACTCACAAATATGTCCAAATGGCAGCTAAAACACTTGATAATAAAGCAAAAAAACCCAACAACAACAACTTTTGTATATGCAATAATATACCAGGAAATATCTACACAATTCCAAAACTATTGCAGCAGTTGCCGTTAGAAGGCACACAGCTTGAAATAAGAGACAAAGACAGACTGAGAAAGGCATAGAGTGAGTGGGGTGCAGAAAGTCAGAGTTTAGATTACCTGACAGAGCAGTCTGGTCTTCCCCCTCAGAGACGCTTCACAGGCACTGTGAAACAAGCAGGGAGAGCCAGAGAGTGAGAGCGGATATGACTGTTTGAGTGGGTGTGTTGCCGAGAGAGACGGGAGAGAGGAAAGAAAAAAGAAGTGATGGAGAAAGAGGGAGCGAGGAAGACAGAATGAATGAGTGTTTCCACTGTATGAATTTGAGGGAAGAAGGAGTATGCAGTGGCGAGAGGCAGCTACCACAGCATCCGAGTCCTGCGATATAAACCTCAAACA